GTTCCCTACAAGGTTAGAGGTCTAAAGCAAAATGTTATAGAAGAAAGAAGAGTAATTGAAAAAACCAAAAGGGGAAGGTTTCCAAATTCTGCTATCTCTACAGGACTGATCAAGAAAGACTTCCCCTAACTGAGTGATCAAATCATCAACCATCCCCATTAGAATCCCTTAGACCTCTTCTCAAGCCCAAATCCCAAGAGTTATCAACAAACACTGAAGAGATCACTTTTCTTTTGTTTTCAGACAAGGAATAAATAGAAGGAAATCTATCTCTAAGGGAGTTTTCACCAACCCAAACATCTTCCCAAAACAAGACTTTATTTCCAACGCATACATCATATTTGAAATAAGGAAGCATAAGAGGCAAAATACCTTGAATAGCTTTCCAAGGAGAACATTGAGAAGCCCCAGGGTCGAGTCCTGCATCCCAGTCGTTATCTGCCAATCCATGAATACTAACAGTCACTCTAGACCAAAGTCTGTTCTGTTCCATTGGTAGTCTCCAAATCCATTTCCCCATCAAAGTTGTGTTTCTTAAACTTATATTTCCTAACCCAAGGCCTCCATCATCCCTACTCCTAGAAACCACCTCCCACTTCACTAAGTGATCCTTCTTAGTATCCCCTGGTTCCCACAAGAAATCCCTCATTATCTTCTCTAACTAGTTAGCTACTTTCATTGGTACTCTAAGATAGACAGGAAATAAACTGGCAAGTTGGCAAGGTTGACTTGATTAAAGTTATCATACCCCCTAAAGAGATGCAATTCCTCTTCCAATTTGCTAACCTCTTGGAGAATCTTTCAATTACAAGGTACCAAAAACTCAACCATTGGGTTCCCTCCCAGTGGTAGCGCAAATATTGTAAAGGCCAACCCCCCACTTCACACCCCAAAATCCTAGCTAGGGAATCCACCTCCTCTCCCCCTAAATTGAGCCCTGCCACACAACTTTTTCCCCAGTTCACATTAAGATTGGACTTCCTTTCAAATTGAAGCACTAGACTCTTTAAGTTCCGTAATTCCCCTTCCTCCCCGTCACAAAAACAAGATGATGTCATTTGCAAATTGTAAGTGTGTGACCACCACCTCCTCCCTATCAATCCTCCAACCTCTTATCAAATTGTTAGCATCAACCCTCGAAATCATGGCACTCAACACATCAGCTACTAGGGTAAAGAAGAATGGGGACAATGGATCTCCTTGCCTAATACCCCTCTTTGCAGGAAAGAAACCCCTAGCTACACCATTCACCAATATTGAGAAATGACATGAAGAAATGCATCACTTTACCCAACTGCACCATCTCTCCCCAAACCCTCTCCGCTTGAGAACCTCTAGTAGAAAATCTCAGTCCACCATGTCATATGCCTTTTCAAGATCCAATTTGCAAACCAACCCCTTTTCCTTTCTCCTCCTCTTCACTTCAACACATTCATTGGCAATAAGTATTTGATCTACAATTTGTCTTCCTTCTACAAAKGCCCYTYGATAYGGTGAGATTAGAGACGRGAGGATCTTTTTKAATCTTAGCRCTAGGACCTTAGAGATGATCTTATACATGCTTCCCACCAGGCTTATAGGTCTGAAATCCTTTGGTTGGAGAGCGTTCTTCTTCTTAGGAACCAAGGCAATAAAAGTAGCATTTGCTCCCAAGTTAAATTTGCCTCTCTCATTGAACTCTTCAAAAACCTCCAACAAATCCTCTCTAATTATCTCCCAACAATCTTGATAGAAGGCCATCGAAAAACCATCAGGCCCAGGAGCTTTAGATCGATCCATGGAGAAGATTGCATTTCTCACTTCTTGGGCCTCAAATCTTTTTTCCAAAGAGTCCGATAGGACACTATCTTCCACCCTCCACTCCAAGTCCTCTAAGCTCTCACTAGGTCTCCCTGGGTTGTCATACACTAATTTGAAGTGATTAACCAAAGCTTGAGCTACATCATCTTCCCTTGTCAACAATTGCCCATCCCACTCCAATTTTGAAACAGAATTTGTATTGATGTCCCCTTCCTTTAGCCATTTGCACCTGGATTTTTGCCTCCAACTTATCTCCTCCTTCCTAAGAAGATCTTCCGGTTCCTGTTTCAAATTCCATCTTTCCATCCTACCCTCTTCCCCCAACCTTCTTTCAGCTTCTAGTCCATCTAGCTCCTGCACTCTCTGACCGATTTCCACTTTCCTTTGCTCTAATCTACCAAAAACCTCTTTATTCCAAATCTTGAGTCTAGCTTTCARRAGTTGTAGTTYSTTGTAAAACCTATACCCCTTCCATCGGAATTCCACTTGGTCCACTTCCCACCATTCTTTTACCTTAGCTAGAAACTCTAGATGAAGTAACTACATGTTTTCAAACCTAAAAGGGCACAGGCCTCCATCTAGTCTTTCTTGAGACAACCTGATTAGGCAATGATTTAAAATAGGTCTCTGCAATGCTGTAACACCTAGAATCCCCCATTCAGCTTCCCAATTCACTGTAAAGAGGAACCTATCTAATCGACAACAGGTAGGGCTTTCTTGGAAGTTTGACTAGGTAAAATTTGCTTGTTGAAGAGGGAGGTCCCGCAATTCAAAATTCTCCACAAAGAGATTAAACTTCCTCATGTTAGATATAATCCTACGACTGGGGTTATTGGACTCGTTCAAGAATCTTATTACATTGAAATCCCCACCCAAACACAAAGGGTCATCCCACAAACCCCTAACGGCTACTAGTTCTTCCCAGAAACCT